AGCGTGGACCGAGCCTTATGCGAGTAACGCGCACTGATCAGCGTTTGCTAGCATCGCTATGTTTGGTTGAGGACGATCAGCGTCGTATACGGCCTCTACATCGCCAGGGCAAATGATGCTGTGGGATTACGAGGACAGTTACAACACCGTCCAGAGCGCGCATCACATTTTGCAAGCTACCTCAAACCGGTCAATTGCGCTGCGCGGATTGGATTCGTCTCGTCTGTTCTCGTTTCCCACTCAATAATACTCGAGCCATACCTTGTATGGAAGCCCCGGCGCCCATACCTCACCCGAGGAATGCGCCTTGCATGCTGAATGCGCATCTACGTCGGAATGGAGGAAGGCGACCTTTACCTGGAAGTTGTCCTTAATCTTTCCGATATAGTACACTTACACGCCATCACAGGCCTCCTGACGCGGCGTCAGAGATGGGGAACAGACTGTCTTGCAAACTATACGGGCGTTGCCATCGACCAAGAGCGCAAGAGATGCCCCGAGTTTCCTATGCTAAGACTCTGGAAGGGCCCTAATGTATGGTGCCATGTTGTAGGTCGTGTACCCTACCATAGCGATGCACTGAAAAAACAATATGAATGTCCACGGATTGCTACGTCATGATGCTGGCCTTCGCGGCTAGCCAACGGTCTTCAATCTTGACGATATATCTGGACAGTAGAACTGCAAGTTAAAGTGCGGTTCCGTGACATCTGAGATCTGGCCCAGGAGAGATAGGCCGGAGGCTTTCCTGTTCTCTTAGCCAGAAGAACTTTTCAACTCGAAGTCGCACGGCTCCCGTATCGCAGCGTCTCGGCCTATGGACCAGCAGATCGCCAGAGTATGGGTGGTGTGAATAATACTTCAAACGCAGTGTAATGTATTTGTGGTACACTACAACAGGTATGGCTAGGACAGCGGATTCAATCTCCTTCTCTAGCGCGAAGCAGCACGCACGATAAACCCGTCTCCGAGGGCTCCACTCGGCCGACGAGGAGAAATACTATCCGTAGAATTGCGTAAAGACGAGGATAGGTCTCGCACCAGGTTCCGGAACAACGCTGAGTTTCTATTGGGCGATGCAAGCGGAGTGAACCATACTGAATACGCACATTGACAAGAACCTCGAACCTGGGCCACCGATGTACTCTGCGCCTACTGCCTCGCATTTCTTATCCATCAACCATCTCCAAAAATGTCGAGAACAGATAGCAAGAAAGGAGATCTACGACCAAAGCTGACCAAAGTAGCTAAGAGACAACCGCGGAGCGTGCGGGCATGCCGAACGGCCACCTGGATTCGAAGGTTCCCACGGACTGGGAGAAGCCAAAATCGAGTAAATATGCATATTTATGACATGATACACAGAGTGCACAGATAGAGTGTAGGACCGGCTGGTGTGTGATGCACACGACGGCGTGGTGCGGCGAAACGGCCATGGACTAATGGGCAACGGTGCTGGCCATTGGCAACGTTTTCACCGTGACGGCTCTCGCGACTGGACGCGATGAATAGAACTCACTTCCCAACCACCTCGAGCTCTGAGTTCCCACCCAATCTTTCCCTCACAAGGCGAGCTAGTGCCTATCCGAAGGACCGAACGTTGAGGTCTGCTATTCGATACATGATCGACCCTCCCCCTTCCTGGAATGTCGGACCACCCAAAATCTTTGCGGCTTCTTCGGAACAGCCATTGTCGTCCACAGACAGTGCTCTGCATGCGCCCATGCAGGCTCGAGTTGCAACTGTAAGCACTATACTCTGTGCCTACCGCGCATGAACCTGAGTGTGATCTTAGTGCCAAGACCACCGATGCCGTGGCCTGAACTGCACGCAATTCCATGCTCTCGTTGACGACCGTGAAGAGGTACATACAGTAGCCTTCAGTATTCCTTGTCCGTATCGAACTCGCTGATAGTAAGAGTCAGGATGCCCGCCCTGCTTCTGCTGAACGACATTCCTCGAATGACTCGGGCTTGGCCATTACACCTCAGGCGAACATTTCCGCACAGGCGGATGAGCCCTCGGTCTCATCCTCCTCCACGAACACCGTCCAGAGAACGCCGCATCCCTCGCACCTCACTTGCGTTATATATGGGTCTTCTGCAGCTTTCTCGCCTTCTCCACAACTCCTCGGCCGGTATTTAAGTCAACCCTCCACCTTGGACGATCCGATCATCTCGCTCGAGCCCGCCGGTGCCCAACAGGCCATTTTGGGCTCCTCGTCAGAGCTCACAACAACGTACGATGGCTACATTCACCCGGACACTACCACACGTGAACCTTCTCCATCTCACTTCACCGAAAAACCTCCGCCTTATACGGCAACCTTTTTACTTTCAAATCCCCAACCTTCAACGCGCGGCTGCGCATCGCCGACGTCGCGCGCGAGTTCTACGTTGTCCCGCCCGGCCATGTCGCTACTTATAACTAAGCCTCCCGTGCGGGGCGTCACCCGCCAGCCACGAATCCTACAGAGAAGTGGATGGTCTTGATACTACTGACTGCATAACTCGTGCTCTTGCTCCACCGAAGCTTGCCATCATTGTGCCTACTACACACCCAAGTTCTAAGTATTGTGAGCCCGCGTGTTTCTCCACATAATAACTTCTTCAATCTCGGCACAGTGCTCGTCAACGCGTCTTTCGGCTTCACTAGTGTACAAACCGTCCATACGGTGAAGTATACGAGATCTTCTACCATTATCGAGCGGTGCCGTGTACAATAGTTGAAGGGTTAGAACGTTGTAAATATCTGAGGAAAGCCTTAGAATGCGCGCGGCAAATAAGGTCTTTGACCATGGAGGCTAAAGAAACATGTACTACGATTGAATCTCAACATCGGGCTTGGGAATTGTTGCTTAACAGGAGGATCCACGTTAATGATGAGTGACGCCAGATGAGCTCTGGGTGGCGAGGATTGGAATGACCACATTCTGCTGCCTGGGAGATGATAAAGGGCGACGTCATATGCACTTGCAAGCCCGCTCGGATGCCTCTGAGCGTATGGAAACCTAGTCTGGTCCAACTCGTTTGGGAATGGCGGGCGCGTCGCAATGACGTTGCGCGTGGTGAGCTATACCGCTTTGGGATTTCTAAAACCACGGGATCGTGGGACCCTTCTCCGCCCGACATCTGCCGTGTGAGGGCGGAGGGCAGTAGTATTGTTGTTTTGGGTCTCGCGCCGACTTTTAGTCTGCTGGGTATCCGTTCGGATACAGATGTACGTCGAGAGAGGGATCCGATATATTTCGGTTGGTTCAGGGATTGGTTCATCACCCGCGTGTTGCGATGGTAGCTCAGCAGGAGGGCTGGAGAGACGGGAAGTTCATGATTGCTCAAGGATGTGTGTGCATGGCCGTTGCATGGTATAAGGGTCCCGGACATTGTCAAGGCGGGACGTAAGACGCAAGACGCGACGGTGCGCGACACCCGACGCCCGACGCGTCGACGCGTCCTCCCAATCTCACGTGTTCTTACGCGTCCCAAAGCAGTAAAGGCTCGCGACGCCCGACGTCATTGCGACGGCCCTGCCATTCCCAAACGGTTTGAACCAGACTACAACGAAGAGTACTCGAGCTTGCCTCCGTCACTCTTCTTGTAGTCGGTCACCAGACTAATGGAAACCATGGATCTTGTCGTGTGGTGAGTCTGAACGGCGTGTCGTCTCCGCGGCCTCACCCAAACTGACTGCATTGCGGTAACTCCCGGGGGTATCTGGTATATTGTACGGATGACAATATTTACCATTGCCTACTTCTGTCTGGCAACTTGGTGGCTGGTCCCCGTCGAGGAATACCTGGAAGATAGACGTATCCGTGTCTAAATGGGATAGTCCTGCTGCGGTCTCACGCCGTGGCACTGATAAGGTAGACGCCACATGCGTGGTCGACTGTATCGAATCGCCCTTGTACATCTCCTGGAGGGTTTAGACATACACATGCACGGTAAGTGAGGAATTTGATGAGGGATGCTAATGAGGTAAAGGTCATATGGGCTGCTGAGGGCACCCCAACTGGGGTATAGTGCACGACGACTGAGGTGCCAGTCTATTACGAGTGGTTGTACGAGTGAAGGGAGTAGAGGGGCGGGGTAGTTGTGCTCATCTGGCGTATGGTACCTAGGATACAATGTAACATGAGGCGGTCGTTTAAGCTACACGAGTACAGGATAGAAGATAAGAGAGTCGGTAAGATGAAGGTAAGAAAGAATGCACGACAAGTGAAAGCGAGTCCAGACCAACATGCCAGATCATGGGCCCCTCCGAAGACCACTATCGAGGGGGATTCCGGTCCTTATCATCACGCCGCGGGCGCTTCGGCTGGCGATGTTCTTGCGCAAGATGCTTGTTGAGCTTTGATGGATCATTGAATCGCAGGTCACAGTGAGTGCACTCATGAGGGCTCTCGTGGGTACTAGTAGGCCTTTTGAGCGAGGATGATGTATAACAACTAGCGCACTTACTGTACGTTGACGTGACAATTCACCGCATTGCTGCGCTGGGTAAACTTCCTGATCCCAAAGTCAGAAACGGCAAAAGGAGTACGTAGTTGGACTTACTGTTTGCACCAACTGCATTGGTAACGCCTACCCGTCCATCAGTGTCTGCGGGCCAAGGTGGCAAGCAATACGTACTTGATATTCATATGCATCGACTCGACATGACGTTTGACAAGGTGCTTCCTTGACTCGAAATTGCACCGACCGGGATGACCATCCACCATCGTTTCGTAGACGCAGCGCCATTGTCGCCGACCATCAGGGGTGGCTTTTGCGAACTTGAGATAGTCCTCATTGCCGCTCTTGACATCGACCTTGACTATCTCGAGTTTCACCTTGGCGCAGTTGAAGTATTGCAGATGAATCTTTCCATCCGGGTCCGGGTCGGACTTTTGGACATAACAAACGTTACAGTTCTCGTCGTGCGCAAGATCCTCCACGTTGCCAACCGTTGAACCGGAGCCCAGAGATGACCGTCCACAATGGTCGCACGAACGCGTATGCTTGCCGAGGCTCGTGCTTGGGTCAGATGCCGCTGAAGACGTCTTCTGGTCCACAGAAGAGGGTGGTCTAGAAGGATCAGCACTTCAGCTTCGACGTTTCAAAAACCTCATTGAACTCACTCACGTCTCTGGACGTGCGGGCGCATGATCTGGTCCTTCAGCAAGGTCGAGATCGCTATCCGCTATCTGGCGTGGTGATGGAACATGGCTGGGCTCGCGAGTAGGAGATGGTGGCGGCGTCTGTGAGCGTTTTCTAGAGCTGGAGCTTAGTCAGACCCAAATCTCGTAACCTGACTGCGCAAGCTGGTATACCTATCGGAGGTGCGCAAAGTATGAGACGAAGGCGAAGGGGGGGCCATATGGTTCATGCCCTCAAACGTCGAAGGTTGTTTGTGGTAATGGTAAGATGGGATTGGAGGTGGCGTTGGTGGAGCCCCATCGCGATACCTAAAAGACGTCAGATTCTCTAACCATAATCAATATATCATGGCATTCCTCACCCTGCGGTAGGTGTACCATGCAGAGCCCCAGATAAACATACTGCACGCGCCTCATCTCGAACTTCGGGCGCGGGCAGCTGTATGTATGGTATCGACTCTGTCTGATTGCCATCCTCCTTAGAAGTTTTGCCGAGGTATGACGGGGGGCTGGGGTAAAGGGTGAAATCGGCAAGCCTAGCGTTGACTGCGTAAGAGACGTTTGTCACTTATCCGGAAGGAGGCTCGAATATGCGACTCACCTTAACAGAGCGCTGCTCTGGTGGATAGACCGTTTATTTGACAAGGATGGAGGCGCCGAAGAAGCCGAGGAGGGAGCAGATGAGGAAGCAGATGAGGAGGACGCAGACGACGACGACGACGATGCCGACGACGACGACGACGACGACGACGACG